ATATAAAATTTTATTAAAATACTTTTTTAAACAAAACTTTAAGTTAGTCTCATTTTTATTTTCCACCACTGTATATCATTTAAAATAAAATTACTATTTTAAAAATGACATGTAATTATAAATTTTTATAATAAAAATGTTTATCAAATAACAAAACTTTTTAATAAAAAACAACCAAATGATAAAAAATTATTTAATTAAATTTTATTCCAACTAACTTTTTTTTCTATCAATTAATTTTAACCTGACTATTTTTGTATTTTTATATTCAATTTTATACTGATCTATAATATCTGTAATTATACTACTTTCACTGAATTCATGACTATCATCATGTAAATACAAGTCTAATACACTTTGAATAGGCTCACATATGATGTTAGTAAGGTTGTCGGCATACCAATCAAATATTGAATTAAACCAATCTTGATTTGACACTTCTTTTAAATAATACTCATTAACCAACTCTTGATTCTGACTACTATAATAATTAAGATCATTATTTATAGATTCCATTGATTTCTTCTCACTACTATCAAGATATTCTAACTTATAAATAACATTCTCCGTGTATATATAAGGAATCACTGTTCCACTAACAAACCTGCAATTACTTTTTACTAAAAGGGTAACCAGTTTTCCGTTTGACAGATTAAAGAGCTGTATGTAATGATCAGATAAGCAAATAAGCACATCTTTGTATATTTTAAAATATTTAATAGGTACTTCCCATGAAAACAACACTTCTGTGTTCTTAATACACCCCAATTTATCAACATAAAATCCTGTTTTATCAAAACATAAAAGAAATGTTTCTTCATTGATTTTAAATATTTGTCGAGCATTCATAATGCCCACATTCTTTAATACTATGGAAGTAACCAAATCATAGCCTTCTAGCAATGCTTGTGATTTTAATCTGTCAATATCAATGTTTATAAAATCTTTACATGAAATAACTATTCTTTGTGTTAAAAATGTAATATCATAAATATCATATCCTACATACAACTTTCTATTCATAATTAACTGGTTACAGTTGTCTTTTGCAACCACTTCAAGTAAAAAAATCAAAACAAAATTAAAATCACTTTGTTTAGTAATTGCAATACACTCTTTATTGTTCAGTTTTCCTGTAAAAATGTCTTTAACTTTAATATTAACCCTCTTAAAGTTCAACTCAATATTCATATTAAAAACAGATATGTAAAGTGTATCGTTTACCAGTAAATACAATAACTGATTATCAGAATCATAAAGTATTTTCTTTGGTGAAAAATCACTTATTTTTTCAAGTGTGTGATTCTTTTTAATAAACAATCCTTCTTTTACTGAATACAACTCCATTGAATTAATTTGTTTTCTTAAGTTAGGTTTATCAAACTTTAAATTACTTTCGTCTATTTCATCAGTTCTATTTATAGGCATTTTAAAACAATTTGTACACCAGTTACCTTTTTTGTTATCATCATTTAACACATTTATTATTTCTGTAGTTTCTTCCTTCTTTACTATTATTTCAGACCATTCTTCTGAACTTGAACTGTCAATTGTTGAAAGTTCATCTACATTTATTGACTCTTCATTTACTTTAATGTCAATATTTATAACTTCTTCAATTTGATTGTCTATATAAAAAACAGTCTTAAATACATTGTCTGATTCGTAGTATTGTTCAAGTCCATATTTATCGATTAAACATGATTTAATTGAAACTATCAATTTCATCAAATAATTATGAAATGAATCACGACTAAATATGTTGGTAAAGTATAATGACTTAACATCTCTTGTCTCTTTATTAACTAAATATAATGGATGATACGATCCAAGTTCTTCTGCTTTCTCAAACTCTTTATATCTTTTTCTAATTAATGTTAGTTTTGAATAAAATAAAGGTTTAGTAAGAACTTCTAAAGCTTTAAAAGGGTTATCAGTTACTGTGCATATAAGCATATAATTATTAAATAACATAATTTGTTTAAATGATGCTGGATCTAACTTCGATGTTTTAGCCACAAGTTTGACATCTTTTAAAACATTTGTTGATTTATATATTAAGTTTAATGGATAGCTATCTACATCATTTTTAAACTTAATTCTATTGATCAGATTATAAATTTCCAAACTAAGAAATTTCAATCTAAAATTTTGATCTAATATTTTTACAAAATTTTTAAGATTTAAAGCCATCTCCAAATATCTGTTTTTTAGCTCTTCATTTGGTTCTCTTTTTGCAATTGCTCTTAATAATAACGGATACCTAATTACCTTATCAGGTGGTCTAATTTGATAATTAGTTATTCCTAATGCAGCTTTGTTTGACTTTAAAAATTTCTTTACATCAGTTGCAAATTCTGAATTATAAAACATTGCCTTTTTTAATTCTATAATTGCTCTTGGAAGTTCCGAAGTGTACTTAAGATATAAAACTTTCATTTTCTCAAAAAAATCTTCAAACAAACTCACATATTCTAATTTTGGGACATTAAGAGAACCATCTTTTGCTAATATAAAGTCATCTTTTTGTATCATATCTTTAGTTGTTTTAGTCCCACATTTCTCAGCAGCTACCACATTCTTTTTCTTCATAATATCAAACATTTCTAAATGCATTTCGAGGATCTCATGCATATTTAAAAATACCAAATTATTTAATATATACTTCATCTGTGTATTGAGTTTGTTACCATTTAAAATATGTTTTTTGAAATCCACTCCCCAGAATTTAATATCCCTTATGTATGCTCTCTCACTTTCAAACACTTCAGCTAGTGCTTGTATTCTTTTCTTATTATCAGACATATTGTTTCAAAATTCTAAGACTTTAAATAATTGATCAATCAAAATCTGTTTCAAAAATAAACGTGATAAATCAAAAATAAATCTTTTTTAAAGAATTGATTTTTTCAATTTTTTTCAAATTATAATTTTGATAAAAATTTTTAAAGTAAAATGATAGTTTTAGTTGGAAATTCCCCGGCAACAACAATTTGTGCAATTTATCTTAAAACAGGTAATAAGAAAGTTTTTGTTATTAGAGATGATTCTAAGCTTGGTTATAAAACAACTGTATTACCAGGATATAAAGGTACTCAGTCTGAGTATAATAATGAATGCTTTAGACAAGCTATAAATATAGTTGGAGAAGAAAATTATCTTGAATGTAAATCAATAGAGATTGTAGTAGGTGAGAAAAATATCATTGTAAATAACAGAAAAATTGATTTCAACTTGTTAGTAGTTGATTCTCATGAGACCTATCAAATAAATGATAAAAATATTATTTCAGTAGTAAACTTTATGAAAGACCACGAAGGATTGACAGATGAAGTTTATAATGAAGCTATTATTTTAGCAAGTATGGGATGTAAAATTGCTTATATGATAAAAGAAATGAAGATTGAATAAAATTGTTTATAAATTTTCAACAAAAATATTTATTGATTTGATTTTTACCCCTAACATGTATTTCAAGGTAGATTTGAGAGGAGAATTTAGAAATATTAAGGCAGTAGTTCCAGCTAAAATATGTTTTATAGATGTAAGGTGTGGAAAATGTAAAACTAAGAAAGATAACATCAGTATTAAGCATGATTATACCTATGATTTAGAAATACAGAAAGGAGATAGAAATCACACAACAACACAAGAGGTTAACTATACATACAAATGTAGTAATGAAGACTGTGGAAATAGAATCAGTATAAATATGGAAAAGTTGAGTGATTTAGAGTTTTATAGAAGAGGAGAGAGTGATGTATATGAAAGGGTAAGTAAGGTTGTTAATGATGAGTGTACAATTGCACGTTTTAAGAGTGATTCTGCTACAATTGAGACTGTAAGACTACCAGAAATAACTTTTTTTACTGATGAAAATGAAATGTTAAGTACAAGTGATCTAAAAGGAGGGGTTGTAACTTTAACTTCTAAAATAGGAAATCCAACAGGTATAATTGAAAATTTTAAAATAACCGTAAAAGAAGTCAATAAAAAATAAATTGATTGGATTTTAAATTTTTTTATCCCCTAATTATCCATGGGGAACAAGTACATGTATGGAGGAAGGAATTCTGAAAAACAAAGGAAACAAAGAACAGATTATGAAATAGAACTCAGAAACACTAAAACGGATGATTTGATAAAGAAGATGCGTGATAATCAGACTAGAGATAATAATTTGCTTAGCGAAACAACGACATCTAAAGCTGCTAATATCCAACTGTACACTAAGAATATTTCAAATCTCAATTCAACCAATCTAGATAAGATTTACAACGCAGCTTATGAATTTAGATTAACACTTAGCACTCAAAATGATCCACCAATTCAACAGCTCATAGACTCAGGAATCATTCCAAGAGTAGTTGAGTTATTAAATGCAGATTTCTATAGTGAGTTAGATTCCATGGCTCAAAACATAAGAGTAGAATGTGCTTGGATCTTAACAAACATTGCTACTGGATCGCACTCTCAGACTAGAGTTATTGTAAAAGCAGGAGCAATTCCTTTATTAATTCAAATGTTTAATGAAAATTCAGTTTCCATATTTGATCAAGCTGTATGGTGTTTAGGAAATATTGCAGGTGATTGTGAAGAATTTAGAGATTCTATTTTAGTAAATGATGGATTGGTCGACACCTTAATTAATAAGATAGAAGCTTATTATCATGATAAGAACAATATTAAAGCATTTAGAAATTTAGTTTGGTTCTTATCAAACCTCAACAGAGGAAGAGATCCACATCCAGATGCAAGTCTTTTATCCAGGTGTGTTGAGGTCTTTGAATCAACAATAATGATGGATGATTCAGAAGTAGTCTCTGATTCATTTTGGGGTATATCATACATATGTGATGTTGATGTTGATATGATAAACAAAATAATCAATACAAAGATTCTTTCACGTATACTTGAATTGATGCATGCCTTACACAATTCATTGAATGCAGGTGAAAATTTTAGTTCATTAGCTAAAATATGTAAATATTCTATTTCTCCAATTATAAGAACTATTGGTAATATTGTTACTGGATCAGAAGACCAAACGCAAGTAATAATTAATTCAGGGATTCTTGAGTTTTATTCAACAATCTTTTACAAGTATGATAACAAGAAGAAACCAAGAATAAGAAAAGAAATTTGTTGGACAATTTCTAATGTTGCAGCAGGTAGTCCAAAACAGGTAGAATACGTAGTTAATAATAATTCATTATTAACTATGATTATTGATGCAATTGGAAGATATGAACTTTATATTAGAAAAGAGGCTCTTTTTACTCTCTTACAAATCACAACAAAACATGTGTGTGATCAACCAGAACTTTTAGAAAAACTTTTAAACTTATCAATTCATTTAAATCTTAAAAGTTACTTAGAAGCAGCTCAACTTCAAGCAGATGTACAAACATACATTTTAGATGTAATAGCAGCTTTATTAGATGTAGGTTCCAAATTAATGAGAAAAACAGGAGAAAATATTATGGTCAACGTAATGCTTGAATGTGGATTAGCTGAACTTGTTGAAGATTTACAAGAATCTCAAACAAATTCACTTGCTAGAAAAGCAAATTCTATTATCTTAGAACATTTTAATGTAGAAGAAGTTCCTGATTATTAAATTCATTTCTTTATTTATTTTTTTTATTTTACCCTCAATGGTAGTTGATAGTGAAATAACAAAGGTATTTGAACAATTTTCATTTGGAAGTCATTTTATTAAGAAAGAGAATATTAAATCAGCACTAATGTGTTTAGGTTTAATCATAAATGATCAAATCGAAATAGAAGAAGAAAATCTTGATATAAACAGATTTAGAGAGGTTATTAAGAGAATGCCAAAGAATAATCAATGTTTTTCAAGAAAGGAAGTTGAAGAGGCATTTGCTAGACTTGATACCAAAGATACAAAGTATATTAAAGCATCAGAATTAAAGATTGTGTTAAGTAATGGACAAGACAAATTATCAGAAGAAGAAATCACAACTTTTTTTAAAGAATATCCACCAGATGCTCATGGTCTCATCTGTTATGAAGTAATCTTAGATTCTTTATTTCCAAACGAGTAAATAAATTTGATTGTTTTTATTTAAATTATTTTAGCATGAACAAGTTAAGAGAGAAGATAATAAGATTATTAGATGATCCAACTATAAATAATGAAAATGAGTTTAAAACATATGTAATCAAAGTACAGAAGATTATATTTCAATATGAACGTAGTCTTTATAATGATTATACAGATGAGAATAAAGAAGAAATAAGATCATTTAGAAAGAATTTGTCTAGTATAATCACTTTTTATAAAAAAGAATCTTTATTTAAAAATAATGAAGAACCTAAATTTAGTAGTAAAGCAAAAGATGGTCTTTCAACCTTAAAATTACTAAATGTACAACTTGCGACTGCTAAGGTTAATAAAAATTTATTAGAGAAAGGCACCTTAAAATTAGTTGGTTTGAATTATACAAGTAAAGATATTAAAGAAGGTATAATTGGTGCAAATAAAAAATTAAAAAATCTTAATATACAAGAAAAAAATGAAATTAGAAGACTAAGAATTGTTTTTACTGTCTTTTTATTGATTACATTTTTAATAATTATTGATAAGCTCTATTTAAAATTTAGAGTTACTGAATTGATGAAGGAAGTACCTGAAGTTAATGAGAGGAGGAGTTCTATTTTATAATTAAAGTTAATTGGTTTATTTATTTCATGTTTTTGATTGTTTCATTGTGGTTATAAAATAAAACTATTATTGTGTTTTAAAAATGGGTTTAGTTAGTTGGATTTTATTAAGTTGTGTACTTGTTTCTCAAGTATTTCTTGGTTATTTAATAACAAAAAGTAGTAATAATTTAGAAGATCTTAATACAGAAAGTAAAAACTTTTTTGGTGGTGACACAGCAGAAGATGAAGGTGGTGGCGAAGAAGACAAACAAGAAGGTGAAGAAACTGGAGAAAGTGGAGAAAGTGGTTTAAAACCTAAATATTCACATTCCTATTTATGGAAAAATACCTAAATTAAAATTTCTTAGAAATATTTGTTGTTTCTTTTAAAACTGTTTTTAAATTAAATTTAATTTGAGATTTATCAAAACAATTTATAAAATGTTATTTATAAAAATAGTATATTTGAACTGTCAGTCACTATTAATGGGCAGCTCTTTAGATAACGCTGTTGAAAATGAGTTAAGAGATAGCAAATTAAAAAATGCTAATCCTCCAAATAAAATTGTAGCAGGGAGTCTTAAAACAACTAAATCAAATGTCGGGTCTTTAATTAAATCAGAATTAACAGGTGTGAGTTCTGATATTCAAGATAACATTAACAACATGATTCAAAACTCAAAAGTTGATAGAAGTAAATTTCGAGATTTATTCCTAATTAAGAAACATGTTGTAAATAATGGAGAAAAAACTATTGTTTCATTTGATGTACAAGAAAGAATTATTCCTAAAGAGACTGGTATGCTTTCAATAATTAATGATGATAGTTTTATCAAAATATTTTTAATTTGTGTGATGTTGCTCTTATTAGCTTTAGTATTTGCTACTTCATTAAAAGTTTATCAATCAATTATCAAAATCAATAAAGATAAAAAATTACTAGAAGAAGAAATTTAAGTAAATTTTAATTAAACATGATCTTTATTAACTTCTGTTTTATCATCTTTCTTTTTATTTTCATCTTTCTTTTTATTTTCAGCTTCTTTAATTTTTAACTCTTCTTCTTTTTTTCTTTCTCTTTCTTTTTCTTCTTCTATTTCTACTTTAGCTTTTTCTTTCAAAACATCAATTTCTTCTTTAAATGATTTAACTGAAATTATACTGAAGTCTTTAACACTATCAAATGATAATTTTAACTTACTTGCCATTTTAGATATTTTATTATCAATTCCTTTTAATAATAAAACACTCTTTGTGTTTTTAGAATTGACTTTTACAAACTCTCTAATATCTTCTCTAAGCTTATCAAGATCATCTTTTATTACGTGTTCAATTGCCTTTAATTTTTTAGTAACAAATTCTAATCTGTCACGTGCACTTTTTATTGCACTGGTTTCTTTTTCAAAATCACCTGTGGCTTCTAAATCAAAATAATCATTTGATACGTCATAAATAAGTTCTTTTTCCTCATTTGATAATGGATGATCATAAAAGTTTTCTATAAACCAGTCTACTAATGAATTAAGAATTGTCTCAAAATTATTTCTTATTTCACCAGCCTTTTTAAAATTGTTCTCAGACTCATCAAATTTAGATTCAATGTTATTAATCTCATCTAATTCTTCTTTAGAACATTGATCAATATAATTAAAAATATAATCACTATAACTACTAGTCTTTTCATCACAAACTAACTCAATATTCTTTATTTCTGGTATTCCAAATTTGTTAACTACTAAATTGATATTCATTTCACTTTCCTTATCTGGTTTATTAATAACTAAATCACCCAAACAATAATTTTTATCACTGATTATTGAAATATTAACAACATCATTTACAACTAACTTAAATTGTTTAACATCACCTATCAGACTTGACTTTTCAAATACTTGTTCTAATTCAGTTGAATTGTTAATCTTAAGATAAACATCACTTCCTAATATCTCTCTGAATTTAAACTTCATATCATATTGAGAATTGATACCCGCGAAAAGAGCTGATCCTATAGCAACAACTTCAGATGCCTTACTTGCAATATTATAATTATATTCACTCATAAGAGCTCTAACAAATTCATTCTGAAAGTTTTTACCAACTACCTCAATATGAGCTTTGATTCCTTTCAAATTCTTATCAATAAAATCTTGCATCTTCTTCAAAACTTTATCTGCTTTAGACAAAAACTCTTCTCTAGTTACATTGATTGATACTCTTTTGTAATTTTCATCATAAATATTAGTGTTTGTTCCTTCAAGTGAATTAAGACCTTTTTTAATTGAAAGTAAACTTTGATAAATACGTTCTCTTATTACTTTTGAATTATTCAAGTTATACTTACTAATAATTAATTCAGTTAAAATATTGTCTAATTGTACAGCTCCATAATTAATCACATCTCTTGATACAGGAATTAATTGATTTTCAACAACCTTATAAAAACCTATTGTGGTTTTAGAAGCTCCAAAATCAACAATTACATATTCTGGTATCTTCTTGAAGTTATAAACAGCAAAGTTGGCAGAAGCAGCTGTTTGATCAGTAATAAATTCTTCTATCTTTAAACCGGTTGAGTCTGTTAATGATTTAAGAACAATTCTTTCTTTCTGACCAAATGTTTCTGGTATTGTTAACACACCCGAGATGTAATTAGTATTGTTTAATACCCTGTTAAGATACTTAAAATACATAAACAATATCATTCTTCCATCTTTATCATGTAAATTACTCATCAAATTTCTATGACGTACTTCTATTTCTCTACTGTTATCACTTGATGCCTTCTTACCAAACTTACGCTTTGGTAAAGTCAATTCAACAACTGTTGGAAACTCTCTTGCTCCTGTATCATCTGGTACAATTGTACCATTGTTTTTCGAAGTATACATAACTGTCTTATATAAACCTATATCTATTCCTAATCTTACCATAAGGGTTTATAATTTTTTAAGTTTAAATGTTTTAAATTTTCTAAGAAAAACTAAATGAAAATTTTTTAATAAAAAGAAAATCTTAAATTTTATTTTTCTTTCAGAATGTATTTAAATTATGTCTTTTGTTTTAATTTTATAATTCAATTTATAAAAATGTTATAAATATCATCTATTAAATAAAATTATTATTAATAAACTTTTGATATTAAATTTTTAATAAATATTAAATTTAATTATACCATCAATTTGTTATTATATTTAAAATTTATCTTAAAAATAATATACTCTTTACTACTGTTATAATTTTTTAAAAACTATTTTTGTTAGAATTAATTACCAGTAAAATATGTTTATTTAATAAAAAATTTTAACCCATGAATATTAATAATTTGAAGATAAAGATTATAAGAGAGCGACAATTGAGTTAAAATAATAATCATCAAAGAATCACCTGTTATTATTAACTTAATTACTTATTTTATATCGATTTTTGAACTACTTTAATTAATAATAACGTTATTTATTTTCTAATAAAAAATATTAAACCTCTTTAATTGGTTCATTAATTTATTGAGATTAATTTAAAATCTAAAATATATTTGTAGTAACTCTGTTTCTACAAAGGATTCGTTTTAAAAAATAATTTTTTTAAAAAAAATTTAAACATAAATTTGTTCTAAATTTTAACCCCAATATTCAATGAATAAATTAGTAAACAACAACACTATTAACAACGCAACAGATACAAGTAAGATTAAGTCTTACTTCACACAATATGTCATCACGGGTCGTATCCCTAGGGTAAAACACGGCAATATTAATTATTACCTGTTTAAATGAATTCGAATAAAAAATCAAGTAAATGTAAAAGCTAATAAATAAAAATAAAATAAATAACGAAATGAAATAATATAAACCATAATGATTTACTTGACAAAACCTGTTATTACTGTTATTGTTTTGACTAGAAATAACTTCATTATTTCTGTCATAAGGATTAGGAGGTTGTGATATATGATTTATACAATCTATTGAATTTATTTTCATGTAAATTAATTCTATAGTAATTGATAAGAAAAACATGGGCAAAATAATTTGGAACTTAAAATTTTTTACAAATCAGTTTACATTGTAAATAACTTTTTAATTAGATGTTTATTTATTTACAATAACATTCATTTAAAATAAAAAATAAAATTTTATACTTTAAAAATCAAAACTAATTTATTTAGATAAATTAATTACATAAATTAAAAAAATAATCTTTCAATTTAATGTCAAAATATTTTTATATCACCAACAGTGTGTTTTAAAGAAGTTTTATTTTAAGTTTAATTTTTAATTTTTACTTAAAAATTTTAATGTTTTGACCCTCAATGGAACTGTTTAATAAATACAACGCAAGATATCTGCTATCTCCTAAAATATTGTATATAGCAATAGCATTATTCTACTATACATTCCATACTAACAGGTCTAAGTATATTAAAGATAATTTTAATATAAATCCAGGTGTTATAGGTTTGTATATGGTTATACCACAAACATTGTCGTTATTGACAGGAATAAAAATAGGTAGTATATCAGATAAATATGGAATACAAAAGTATATTCTACTGTTTGCAGTGAGTGTTGGAACTAGTGTTTTTATCACAATGTTAACTCTACCCAAAATAACTTTCTATCTCTATTTTACTTTATTTACATTTTATTTTATACTTGTCTCAATATCACTACCTTTGATTGATAAGATCACTTATGATTTTCTAGAAAAGACAGAAAATGCATCAAGTAACAATTACGGTTCACAGAGAGTATTCAATACAATAACTTTTCTTTTTATGGGATTTATAATAGAAGCAATTATAAAACAAGATGAGTATGGTGTTAATCACTACAATGGTTTACCTATATTTGCGTTATTTGCAGGTGTTGTGGCTTTTATTGCAGTATCTTTATTAGTTAAAAATTTAGACAGACAGGAGTCTTCATCAGGAACACTAAGCTCTTCTTTAGTTCTTTTTAAGAACTTTGAATATACTTTTTTAATCACTTTAATATTCTTTAATGGAATTACAAGGGCTGCTATGACACAGTTTCTTAGTCACTTTTATGATAGTCAAATGAAGTTTAAAGCTGAGGTTTCCAAGGGTTCTAAATCTAAATTAATGTATTTTATTCTCTCTAATAAGTTAGCTTTACTTAACACTGCTGGTATGGTTGTTGAAATACCACTATTTTTTATGTCTTCAGTTATTATAGGAAGAATCGGGTATTTATGGCCTCTTTTATTAGCACAAGTATTTCAAATGATTAGAATGGTAGGTTATTCTTTATTAGGTAAAGATACTCCTAATGCTTTTTATATAAGTTTGGGATTAGAACTTTGCAAAGGATTTAACTTTGGATTAACTCAAATGTCAGCTACCAAGTTAGCTCATTCACTCTGTCCTAGCTACCTTAAATCAACATCTCAACTTGTTTATAACGGAGTATTTATTGGATTAGGAAGTGCAGTATCCTATTTGTTAGCGTATTTTGCTCTTGGATCAGGTAATGTTAAAAGTTATCATTTACTTTTCATTGGATGTGCTATTATAACTTTCTTATGTATCTGTCTAATGGTACTCAAATATGGTTTTATAGATGGTTATTTAACTAACTATCAAAAATTACAAGAAAAAATTGATAAACTACATGAAACTGAAGAAGATATAATAATACCAGGACAATCATCATTTAAAGATGATCAATTATACAATAAGAAAGAAACACTACGTGATATTAAAGTATAATAAAATTGTACTAATAGAAATTTATTTAGACTCAAAATAGATCGGTCCTACCCATTTAAAACACAAATCGTTATTTTCCTGTTTAGTTTCTACATTTACATTCTTAATCAATTTTCTTTCTACATACGTCCATATCTCATCATTACACTGAAATGCTTGTTTTAACTGTTTAGAATAGACATATTCATATACCACAGGTGTTTTAATTGCTGTCATTATCTGTCTTCTTAATGATTCTAAAATAGGAGGTAATAACTTTTCAGCTTCTCTACTACTTTTAATTCTACTTCTCGTAAGTATAAAAAGATATACACAAATACTAATTATTACCATAATAGTAATAGCATACTTAAGAAATATTGTTATTCCATATCTTAATAAAATCTTAAAAGATACTTTAGTCATAATTGACTCAACAACACTATAATTGTTTGTAAAAATAACTAAATTTGAATTCTTAATCATTTCTATAATTTCAGAATCGGTTTCTAATCTTTCGACAGGCACTCTAGGAGTAGATCTATACCCATATTCATATTCACCTCTTATGTAATTTAATTTTCTAATAATAGAATCAACTCGATATTTTTTAGCTAAAATTATACTTTGATCAAATACACAATGATCAATTATTGATGTGACTTTCTTAAAATTTTTAGCGCATTTTAATTTACCATTGAAAAGTAAACCATGCTTTGGCAAAGGAATGCACCATTTTCTAGTTCCATCACAATACGGTAAAAAGAATTTCATATAAATAACTAATCCAATACTTGATAATATTAATAAATAAAAAGTGTATTTAAATAGCTTAAAAATAACCTTAATCATTCTTAAAATTATAGAAAAAAGTAAGCTTCTTCTATTGACATCATTATTTGAATGTATCTCTTCATTAAAAGAAGATTTATTTTTCACTTCTTCATTTGATTTTTCATTTGATTCTTCCGCTAACTCTATTTTAGAATTATTTTGAACGGAATTAAAGAAAGAATCTAAAGTTTTAGTTTTAATTTCTTCTTTATCGTTATCAATTTTAATTTTACTTGTTTCTCTTATATCATCACCTTTTATATAAAAATTTTCACTATTTAAATTACTAATAAAACTGTTATCTGATTGAACAAAACTACTGTTAATATTATCTAAAGAAGTATTGTTAAGGTTATTTAAAGAAGATTTGACTGGAGAATTGGTGACTGAAGATTGGAAGATATTTTGATTGCTAAAGTTAGTAGAATCTAGTTCTTTCAAATGTTCAATTCTGTTATAGATATTCTCTTCATAAAATCTTAAAATGACACTCTTTTTAGCACTAAGAGGGGGTATATTTGGTATATTAAATTGGGATAAAACATCTCTCAGTTGTATCTTAGTTAAACTTTTATAATCAAAATACTTATCAAGATATTTTTTCCTATTCATGTTTTTCCAAGAAATTTGGGGTAGAAAATAATTTTATTTAAAATCTTCAACAAATTCAAGTGTGTCTTCATGAAGAGCTTTCTTATACGATTTCAATATTGAAATATCAAAAAATACTTGTAATAACACTGAAATAAGCAAATAAACTCGAATTTTAACAACAAATGCAAATAAAATCAACTTAATTATATTTCCAAATAAACCGATTAAAAACATCTCGATAGGTTTTCTAGCATCATCTCTATAAAAAATATACTGTAAAAATGCAATACAACAGTCTAGAGTGGCACTCATAGGATCAAATATAAATCTTTTATGAATCATAGAAACAAAATAAAGGAATATTAATGAAAACATAGTAGTGATTATCAACAAGTTAAAATACTTTAACTTCAATTTAAACTTCTTTATTTCTACACTTAAAGATACTTTTTTATTAAGTTTTAACAGATAAGTGTGTAAAAGTATTAATGATAAATTATGTAACAATACTGTTGATTTAAGTGAATCACTAGAAAAAATAAACAACTTAATTAGTGATGATAGAATTATTAGTAATGATAGAATGGGATTATAAACAATCTCTTTTCTATAGATTTGTGGAATGAAGCAAATAACGGGTCCTAAAACCATCGATGCTTCCAACAGTGCTTTAAATGTTTTCATAGAAAAAATAACAAATTTTTATAAATTTATTCAATAAAAATGTTTTTATCATTTACGTTTTTAAATCCTCCTAAATTAAATAAAATATCTTTATCACAATCAACCCCTGAATTGGATATTTTATAGCATTTCATGTTAAACGAACATTCTTTAATTAGTTTTCTATTTTCAATCATACAATGTCTAAATAACAAATTGCTATCTCTGTTTACTAGTCCCAACAATCTACTATTGTTATTCTTTGAAAATTTACTGTTCTTCTTTTTTGTTTCTTTTATATACTTTGGCAGTATTAAAGACATGAACATGTAAAAATCTTTTCCAAATTTTTCTCCTGTAAATCCATCGAGAACCAAATGAACTTCTTCTTTCATTGGCTTATCTCTCTTTGTAAAATTTAACTGTGATACTGTAAAATGATATGATTTGGTTTTATCTGATAAAATCATTGATGATGGATTACCTTTATTTTCATTTAAAACAATTAAATGAGAATAATTTAAATTATTTACTTCTTCTAAACTCATCTTAGATCTTAATATAAACTCACCATTAAATATCAGTGATAAATGTTTAGCAAATTTCTTTAACTTAGTAGTTGGATTGTGTGATGTTGTTACTACTACTTTGGTTTCTAAATACTCATCCTTTCTGTTATCTTCATTATATATTATATCATCTAAAATATCTTTTGCATCTTCTCTTAATACATGTGGTAGTTTCTTATTGTTTTCTAAACAATCTTTAAACTGTTCTTTTTGTCTTTTTAGATATTCTTGCCTTTTCTTTAATTTAAATTTGCTTATCATTTTTTTCTTAAAAATTTTTAAAAAAATTTTTAAAATATAAAATTAAATCTTTTTTTAACTTTTATTTACCTTTTAAAAATTTAAAGAATTAAAGTTTTTTTAGTTAGAACAAAATATTTTTAATGAATATAAAGTTATTTTTGATAGAAGTAATAGTTCTTTTTGTTTATACCTCTAAAAATTTAGATAAAACTAAAATAATTTTATTAATGTAGTACAATTCCAACCGTTATGTGAAAACTTAGCTTAATTTATTAATTTTGTTTTAGTACTTAGTTAGTTTTTTTGTGAATCTATTTAAGCTTATGAAAAATTTTAACCCATGAAATTACAAGACAGACAAGACATAGACGACAAACAGGACATAAGTGAATATGATACAGATACAGGACAAAGAAGTATCTATAAAGGAACAAACATAGAAGACTCAGACTCTTCAGTTAATAAATTACTTTCAAGCACCTCTCTAGGCTTCGGCAATTAATATAAATTTAATATTATTTTGTTTTTATCAATGACATCTTTCATAAAAATTTTAATATTTTCTAAAAAGAGAAATTAAAATTAAAAAGCTAATACTTAATTAGATTTTGTTGCAACGTCATTATCATTTTTTTAATTTTAAAATTTTAATTAAAAACATTTAAAGTTAATGTTTTTATATCCCATGAATTATCTATTTCTTTTAAATATTATCAACTTAGTAAATGTTGGTTCAACTAATGTCTTAAAGAAGATGTTTAATAATTCTACAAATCATCATGAATGCATGCCTGATGATTTAAAGTTCTTTAAATTAGGGGAATTGTTAATGAAGATCTTATTCAGTAATAACTATATCAAATATTGGTTTTGTAGTAATTCTCAATTAGTTTTTTTAAAAAGAAATGAAATTGTCATAAAATTTATCGATAAAAACGATGTGAAACTAATTTATAATGAATGCTTGAATAAACCATCTGATATTTTTAATATCAAAATTATTAAGAAGTTTATTAAACCCATAACTATTATAGAAACATCTGAGAAACTTGAGTTGTTTAATTTAATATTAAAAAACTTATTTAGAAACTTTACCAATCTTGTACCAATTATTCATAAATATAGGATTCATAGATATAATGATGAATTTTATGAAAAAGCAGCGCTGGCAGTAATTCTTGAAAAATATCCAAAATTATTTAGAGATGATAAAGATTTTTTCGAAGGTTTGATTAGTGTAATTCGTGATGATGTTAATTGTGATGATGTTTTTCCTGATGTTTTTTTAAAAAATAATCTAACTAACTCTTTTTTACAACAAGAAAAAGAACAATTTGAAGACATTGAAAGTTTAAAAGGATTTATTGAAAAGTTAAAGAAAGAATATTTATCTATTATAAATAAATCTAAAACTTTACCACCTACAATAAACCGTAAAAAGATTTTAAATGAAGTTGATATACAAAGACTAAATGATATTATTCAGGAATACTTTTCGAATAAAACTAAGAAAAAAAGCGAATCAAATATAACTTCTTATGCAAGATTTTCCGTTTTAATCCAAGCTTTATTTCAAAATTATACTCCATTTTATTATCTAATTAACCAATTAAATGTTAATTATGATTAATAAATATTGATTGCTAAATTTTATCAATTTCTACTATTTTAAATTATTTTTATAATGTTAAGAATTTAAAAACCAAGTGATTCTTTTTTAATGTTAATTTGATCATTTATTATTTAATATATCTTATAATATAAATTTATTTTGTAATTAACATTTTAATAACAAAATTTTTAAAAAATACTAACATGTTATCTATTTTATAAATCTATATTAATTATTATTTTTACTAAAAATAAAAGAAATATTGTCTTTAATATATTTTAAATTAAATTAAGTCATTATCTTCTATAATTAAAACCATAAAACTGTTTTCTTTTAGCTTTATTTCTTTTAATTTACATTAAGTAAATTATCTTAAGTCGGTAATATAATATTTTTTTGAATCTTTAATATTTAAATTATATTAAATTTTTTATTAGTATATTTTTATTAAAAAATTAGTAAAATATTCTTTTATTTATTTTTTTACATCTGTAAAGTATAAATTTATCTATATACAAGAAATAAATTCTTTAAGATATTTTTGTTACTTTATATGGGTTTTAATGTTACTTAATATAAATTAAAGGTAAAATAACATAACTATGTGTTACTAATAAATCACATATTTTTTTGTTATTATATATGACATCTCTCATAAAAAATTTAATATTTGCTAAAAATAGAAATAGAAATAATTAACTATTTATTATAATAAAATTCTGTTTTTGTACATTTTTAATTGATTTTGAAAGTATTTTATTTAATTAAATATTTAATTAAATAAAATATTTAAACATAATATTTATATACCCTATGAATTATCTCTTATTTTATAAAATTATAAACATAGTAACTATTAGTGCAAGTATTAACTTTAAGAAAAAATTACTTAATCTTATGGAAAAACGCAATGATCCATTACCAGATGATTTAAGATTTTTTATATTAGGAGATTTATTGGTGAAGATTTTATTTGGCAATAATCATATTAATTTTTTAACTTATGATAATCCCCGTTTAATTTCTGTAAATAAAAAAAGAATAACTATAAAATTTATTGATGAAAGTGATGTGAAAATTATTTATAATGAGTGTGCTAATTCACCATCAGATGTTTACAAAATTACAACAATAAAAGAATTCATCAAACTTGTTACTATAATAAAAACACCTGCAGATTTTGAATTATATAATTATATATTAAAAAGACTACAAAAAAATTTGATTAAATTACTTTCAAATGTCCGTAACTACAGAGTTCATAGATGTAATAATGAATTTTATGAGAAAGCAGCACTAGCAATAATTCTTGAAGAATATCCAAAATTATTCAATAAAAACAAAATGTTTTTTGAATATTTGATAAATATAATTCGTGATGGTATGAATTATGATGATGTTTTTCCAAATTTACTTGACAGTTTATTAAAAAACAACCCCAAAACTAAATTTTCACAACAAGAAAAAGATACTGAAATTGAAAATTTCAAATATTTTACTAAGAAATTAAGAAAGGAATATTTATCAATTATAGATGAATTTAGAAATTTACCAACTTCTATAAATCGTAAAAAAATATTAAATGAAATTGATATTCAAATAGTAGATAATATTATTCAAGCATACTTTTCAAATAAAACAAAAAGTAAGAAAAAAGACAAGTCTAACGTAATTTCTGTTGTAGACTTTTTAATTTTAATCAAATCATTATTCCAAAACTATGTTCCTTTTTACTACTTAGTTAATCAAATAAATATTGATTATGATTAATAAAAGTTGATTTTAAAAATTATAGTTTTTAATCAGTTTTTGTTAATTTTTATTTTTAATAATAAATTTTAATTAATATTTCTTCATCCGGGAATTGAAATACCAAACATTTTCTTTTTACATCTAGCATCCTTGATTTTCTCTTTAAATTTTTTTATGAGTAAATTAAACTCAGATAATGGAATTTTTATATCAAGTTTGTTTTGTTCCTCTTCATTTTTATCCGAATAAAAAATTTGCATGATTACATGAATAAGATTGATGTAATCAAAATTATTATTACTTAATCTTCTTACATGAATTATGATATAATATTTTAAACTTTCTATGTTATCACTTTCAATACAATAAAAATATTTAGATGTATTAATCAAGCCCATAATAAAAACTTTACACATTGAAATTTTTGTATTATAATATACTTCTGTTTTTACATTATTAAACAAACATTCTAATATTTTTGATTTAATAAAATCATATGTCTCATTATAACAATGTTTTAGTAGTTCTGTAAAAAATCTTATTTCTTTACTATCATTACTGTTGTTAAAAAGTTCATTAATAACTTTTTTTAATTTAAATTCTAAATAATTAAAAATCTCTTCTTCTAATTTCTCTAATGATTTTATATCTTCATTATTCATTTTTTTATCATCTAAAATTAAATAAAATAAATTATTTAAACCAGAAAATAAAGTTTTAAGTTCTGTTTTAATTCTGTCCTTATTTGGTTCTTTAAAGTAATAACATAAATTATTTTTAAAATCTTCAATGTTTCGTCGTTTACAAATTTTTTCTTTGATGTTCTCTACTTCCTCAGTGGTTAAATTATAGATACTGTCTCTAGATGTTAAACAATCACCTGAACTAGCACCGATTTCTCTATTAAACATTTCAATAATAGAGTTGGCATAAATACATTGTCTTAAGAAATAAAAAATTTGAATATTCATTTTTGGGGTTAAATATTTTGATATTTTAAAAATTAATTTTTAAAATATCAAAATCAGAAGAAAATATAGAAACGAGTTTAATGAGTTTATCTAAACTAGTTATTTATTATGTCGTGTCTTTAATATTATCTATCTTATCATCATTGTCATACCCATCTTCATCTATTTTTACACTGTATTATCAATTTTCATAAATAAAAATTTTTTAAAAATAATTAGTTTTCAAATTAAAACTTAATAACCTGTAAGTAACAGTAAGTTTACATTTTTTATAAAAGAAAACTTATATTATATTAGGCGAAGATTCGCAATATATGTTATTTATCTCTAGAGAATGATTTAAATACTTTATTCTCTAACAAAAATTAATATTTAATATAAATATTATTGTCTTAATAATTTATTTATATCATTTCGAAAGGGAAATTTTTTATAAAAAATTTTATATTTTAAAATAAATTAAGTTTAAATTTATAATATCTGTTGATGAGACATCTACAGCAAGTTGTATAAATTATTTTTTTACTAAAATTTTATAAAAACTTAAAAGTTTCAATCATCTTCACAACATAAAAGAAAAAGGTATTTAATTACATATATTATAAAAAGATTGATCTAGAATCAATTTTAAAACTCAATATCAGAAAAATATTTGTATTAAATTATCAATAATAAAAGCCTTTTTTCTTAATTAATAATATTTTGATCTTAAAAAATTACTTTTTCTATTAAAACTGTTCTTAAAATTGTAAATATAGTTGTTCACAGCTTTATTCTCTATAATTATATCTTTATTTATTATAAGATGAAATATTTTTATTATATCTTAAAAATTATTATAAAAGTATAATTTTTTATATTTAAAAGAATTTTTTTAGTAAAAGTTTTTAATATATAAATATTTTTATAATTTAAACTCTAAATGATCTTTATCATAGTTATTTAAAAAACTCATTACAAAAATATTTTTCGAATTAGTCAGCAAACAACTATTTATTTAAAATTAAATAAATTTTTGTTTATAATAAATTTTCAAATTAAATTATTTTTATAAAATGACATCTCTCATAAAAATTCAAATATTATCAAATATTAAACACAAATAATAAAAAAACTCTAACAAAATCAAATATGTTATATCTTTTCATTAATATTCTTATTATAAAATTTTTAGTTTTCTTATGTATAAAAAAAATTCTTATAAAAAAATATTTAAAGATAATATTTTTGCATCCTTATGAATTATCAATTACTTTATAAAATTATAAACTTAATATTTGCAACGACAAATAGTAGTGAATCGCAAGAAAATACTTTATTACAAAATAAAGAAAAGAGATTTGCTTTATTGGGTGATTTATTAATGAAATTTTTATTCAAATATGACCATATTGATATATTAGTTTTTGAAGATCTTAATGAAAGCTTTTTGCTTTTAGAAAATTATACAATGATGTTTTCTAATGATGATTTAAAATTTATTCATAAAGAGTGTGAAAAAATTTCAATTGATTCTTATGATACTAAAAAAATAGTAGAATTTTTTAAATTTAAAACTGAAATTAATATTTTAGAAGAATTTGAATTATATGCTTTGATACTAAAGGGTTTTGTTGATAATTTTGTTGATCTTCTTACTGATGTCAATGTTCAGCTATCTGAAACCAGAAACGAAAAATTTTATGAAAATGCAACTCTCGCATTGATACTTAAAGATTTACCTGTTTCCTTTTCTAGTATAAAAATTAATTTTTTTAAAACCTTATATAATGTAGTTTGTAAAGGTGAAGCTTTCAATAAAAATTTAAGTGATTTAGTTAATGAATTATTAAAAGAAATAAAAAGATCTTCGGAAATTTCAAAAAGGAATATAGAAATAGAAGAATTTGTAAAAAAGATGAGAGAGAAATATCAGTTGTTTTTTGAAAATTATGAAAAAACTTTACCAAAAAATATTAGTAGAAGGAGTTTTTTTGAAAATAATGAGATTGGTTTAAAAGAAATACAAAAAATTATTAACAAAAACCTTTTAAAAGATACTAAAACAAAAAATTTAAATCGTTGTTTAGACTTTTTATTTTTAATTAGAGCACTTTTTCAAAACCACAAGGCTTTTTTTTATTTTATTAATAAGATCAATTTTGAAGAAGATAAATAAATACTAGTTGAAATTTTACTTTTTTATAAACACAGATATTCTTTTATTTAAATTTTAAAAATAACCAAATATTCTTTTATTAATATTACTCTTTATTTATTAAATATTAGAAAATATTTTTATTGTAAAAATTATACTTTTGTATTAAAAAAAATATTTTATATAAAGATAAAATTTGTTTAAATCTTTTATTAATTCACGCTTTACTGATTATTTGAAGTTGCTTGACTTTTAGATGAAAGTGAGTGCTTTAAGTTTTTATATGTGATGAGGTTTACACTTCTTGCACTTAACTCTTCTTTACTTTTAGAAAGATTCTTGAAAAAGTTCAATGAATCTTTGAATGAGAAAGTTCTCTCAGTAATAATTGGCTGTGATCTCTTATTAACATTGTTAATAGGTTCTTCCAATATTTTCTGAATTCTAACTCTCTCCTCATTATTAGTCTTATCATTTCTTGAATCACCAATAACCTCATCATGCTCATCAACCTTATCACTAACAACCTCATCACACTCTTCAACCTTATCACTAACACTCTCAACATTCTCTTCAGTGCTAAATATTTCTTCTACTTCTCCGTTGTTTGATTCTTCATTATGGATTTGTTTAGAATTCTTTGGAATTCTTTGCATCATATCCATAAAAATACTAGCCATTGTAAAATATAAATAATGCTGAAAATGATTTGGAATGTTATTGAATAACTCAGACACTGATGAACTTTTTTTTGTTCATTATGGTCTGTCTTCTTTGGGTTAATATCATTTTCTACAATAGGTGGTACAGTATCTTCCCTCTTAGTACTCTTACCACAGCAGAAAACATACTCTAAACATTTGCTTAAAATACTTTGTCTCTCTTTCTTAATCATATTGTTTACGTATGAATTTTTTTTTATATTAAATCTGAAACAAATTAAAAACAAAAAAATTTCACATCATAAAAATACTTTAAAACTAATTTATTTACTCTTTAAATATCTTATCAAAAAAAATTTTATTACATCAAAATTATGATGTAATGATGGTACATAAATATAAACAAAAAATAAAAATTTAATTATTTGATTTAAATGATCTTTTATTAATATATTTATTATAATTAAAATAAAATAAAATATTTAAAAAAGTCAAATACATAACATTAAAAATTAGTTTTAATTAGAAAAAATTTGCATTGCATTGACCATGACAAGTCTTTGTTTATATTATGTAAACAAAATGACTATTTAATAAAAAAAATTTTATTTATTAAGTATGTTCGGCCTAAAGAGTAAAATACACAGTGTTGTAAATTTTATTTGTTTTGGGGCTCTAAGCAATAAAAAACCTTATATAATGGAATATATAGATAATGAAGAACATTATACATTTGAATATAAAAATTCAAAGAATGTAACTAAGGAAGTCACAGTAAGTGCAAGAAAAATGGTACATGATTACATCAAATATTGTGGTAAAAAAAGAAAATATAAAGGAATAGAAAATGAACTAGTTATACCTAAAGAGAATAAGTATAAAATTTATAAGAAGATAATAGAAGATGAAAAATTATACACAATAAAAATAGAAAAAGGTGAAGTGATAAGAACAGTAAGAAACTTCACAGATTCTGAATTTGAATTTAGTAACATAGAAGAAAAATTTAATGACAGAAATCAATTAACAAATAATTATAGTAACAAAAAAGAATCATTATCTGATCAATCTCTCAGTAATATCAAACAATCTTCTTTACAAGACATAAACAGGTTAACAAGCGATGATCAAATTTTTAATAGTGAAATGGATAAGTTTCTTAAAAGAAAAAAAATTCTATATATAGCAAATGCATTATACTCACACAAAATACAATTATTGAAATTAATAAGTACAATGATGTCTGTTTATTGGTGTGTAATAACAGATAATCCTTCTTCCAATATATTGAATATACAACCTAAAGAAGTGAGTGAATCAATCTGTCTTTCTCAAATATCAAATGATTGTATCGATGAAGATTCAGGTGATAAACCAGTTATAATAATAAAAGATGAATCAAATGAACAAACAGAAACTAATAAGATTGATATTAAAGCTGAGTACAATAAGTTAGTTAAAAGTTTTAATAATTTGAAAAACAAAAAGAATCAGAGTATTAAAATTAAATCACCTCTCAAGTACATTGCAAACATTTTTAAAACAAGAAAGAATAAAAATTAATTTTTATACTTTTATTATAAAAAATTTTATTTTTTATAATTCTTTTTATAGAAAGAGTGATTTCTAATCCTCTGAATTTCTTTAAAATCTTTAAACTTATTCTTAAGCCTGTCATTCTCCAACCTCGACATTTCTTCTTGATAAGATAAATTTTTACTTGGTGCATTTGGATAAGATCTCCATAATCTTAAAGAACCATCATCTGATCCAGAAAATATAAAAGAATTACAGTTTGAAAATGATACTCCATTAACAATTCCCATTCTATCATTATAATAAATCTGTGAATTCTTACTATTAATATTCTCTATTCTAATAGTTGTATCACTAGATCCACTCACAATTCTATGTCCAGTCATAGAAAAGTTTACACTTAAAATTTCATTTGTATGCTTGTTAAAGTACTTCTTACCATAATATTCCTCATTTAATTTTCTAAAATCAGTTACTGTAATCTTATCACTCCCAAAAACAATTTTATTTTCATGAAAATCAACACAATTGACACTTTGATCAATTTTATAAATTTCCTTATTCATTCTTATGTCATACAGATGGAAGTTTGTTGAAGCCACACCTATGATATTATCAAATGTTTTGTTAATCTTAATGACTTGATTATCTCCTTGTAAACTAATATTATTTAATACTTCATTCCTTTCTAAATCAATAACATTTATAAAATCATGATGTGTTGTCACTATTGTGTTGTTATAAAAATCTAAAGAATTTAAATAATTTTTAAGATCAATCTCTTCACTGCTCAAATCTCCAACTCTTTTAACAACAACACTTGTATCTTGACCAACACATAAAACATTATTATTTAATCCTATTCCATTGATAAAATCATCCATTTTTATATCTTTAATACACTTCTTATTAAATACATCATAAATAACAACATGTTTATCAAATGATGACGTGGCTATATATTTACCACTATAATCTTTACACAATCCAGTAATTCCTTCAGTGTGATATGAAAATGATGATATGAATGGTTTAGCCATTATCTTATCAACTTTAGTAGCATTTAATGCTTTAACATACTCTCTTTCTAGTTTTAATGGATGATGTTTATCTTCTTCATTATATTTGAATGTTGTTAAATCATTTTTACATTCTTTATTTATTTTATAATAACTACATGGAATTTTCTTCATAACTTTGATTTAAAATTTTCTAATAAAAAATTTCTAAGAAAATTAATTATGGACAAAGATCTTAAGTGGATAACAAAACCCGAAGTAAACATACCAAATTATTATAAATTAGAACTTGAAGTTAATAAAGATAATAAAAAACACGATGATCGTTTAGATAATGATTTTAAGAAAGTTTATATTGATCCATTGGAAGTAATTAATATAAGCGTTCTTGATGAGATTTTAAATTTTGAGTCTAAAAAACTACAATTTTTAAAAGAAACTGATGTTATTGATCGAAGGTATTTTGTTAAGAAATCTGAAAGATCAGAAGCTTTTAAAAGAATTGAACAACATAATAAGTTAACATCTGTATTTAATTATCAGCGACATTTACAAAATTCATTTAATACTGTTGATGAAAAAGATAATGATGTAATAGAAGAATATCCTCTCTTCCTGAATAATGAAAACTATATACTGGTATCAGGATTACCTAATACAGAATTTGAATTTTTTAATTTGTTAGAAGAAGGTGATGTTAAATCAAAAGTAACTGTTAATGGTTCTAAGAAAAGTTTTATGAAACAAAAGAGCGACAAGTATTTAATTATTAGTATTAAGGATGGGAATGGATATTTTAATTATTGTGATCAAATACATAAACTCTTTTAATAAACTTATTTTTATTTTTATTAAAATTTTAATAGCATGAATCTTAGAAGATACGAATGTAAATATTCAGATGTTGATAGTAAACAGGTAGTAAGTAGATTCAAAGAGATGCATCCAGATTATTTTGAGTTAACAGAGTGGAGCAAGAGAGTAAATTACTTAGATAATAATAAGCTTGGATTGTCTGACGATGAAATCATGTTATATATTATTGGAAAATGTGAAAGTAATTTTAAAATTGTTAGTAAATTATTAGAATTGGTTGATTTATCAAAGTTAAAAACAGGCTATATATTAAGCTTCATTAATCAAAAATTTACAGAGGTAAAATTAGAGAAAGAAATTCTTAAATTACTAGGTTTATTGGATGAAGTAACTAAGGTTGAATTTATTTTAAGTGGAGCTAAATTTAATGTAGGTAAGAAGGCTGCAAGATATTTAGAATTATTAGAGAAAATAAAATTAAATAATGATATAATTAAATCTGTATTAAATGAATTAAATAAGATTAAGTACACTGGAATAATAGAAAAGAAAAGATTAGTTAAATCTATCAATTATTTTAATGACAAACTAAATGAAGAATCTAAGGCTGATAATTTAGAAAGTAATGATATTCAACCTGAGATCAAAGAAAGGATTAATATTGAATTTAAAAAGGAGGATGTTGTTGTTGAAAAAATTAAAGAATTTGAAAAGATTGAGAATGAAGTAATTAAAGAAGAAGAAGTTGATACAAATAATCTTATTAATGTTGTTAAGTTAAAACAAAATGATTTAAATAATGAGAATTATCTTAATATATTAAACAATAATTTAATTAATAGAAATGAAGTTGAAGTTAATGATTTTATTATATTTTTAGTAATGAATCAAATCATATTGAATGATGATAACATTTTAATACTAATTAGTGTTTTACTAACTAAGGAATTATACTACCTGTTAGAAGTTTTAGATAGAATTTATCCAATGTCTAAATTGTATAAAATATATAAGAAAGATGAAAGATTAATGAATGTACTGGTTAAAATAATTGGTAATATTACAAATAAGTCAAATGAAATTGACGAACTAAAAGTTGTTATAAAAGAGGTAGAAGAGTTTTTTGATTTGTTGAAAATATTAACAAATAATAAACAAAATGATGAGAAAAACAATTCTAAAGTTGATTTTATTAATAGAAGTTTATTAGAGATGAGTTTAGTAGAAGAAGAAAGTTTTAAAAAAAGTAAAAATGAAATTAATGTTTATGAGGAAATAAAACAATTAAGTGATGAAAATCAGATAGTTGAATATTTTAAGAACAATAATTTAAATATTAGAACTTTAATACATTTAAATATGATAAACATACTAAGTGTACTTATTAGAAACAATATTGGATTTGATGATCATATTAGTGATCTTTTAAAACTTTTTAGAAATGATAATGACATTATGATGGGAATAACTTTGAATAGTGATTACATTAAAGTTTTGACAGCATTATTTGATTTGGTAATTGAAGACTCTGATACAAGAATTATGAAATTGATATGGAGACATTCTAAAAATTTAACTAAATGGGTTGATAATAAAAAGGCTAGATTATTAATAACAACAATTGATAATATTTATCGTAAGCATGGATCTACTCTGAGTAAATCAACAACTACAATGTTAAAAGTTTCATTGTTACATCTAACTGAACTTTGTAATGTCTACTCAACGAATATTATGAAATTTGATAGCAGTAAGAATTTTAAAGAAATAGCAAGTTATATAACTTCTAATAGTGATTTACCAGTAGAAGATATCAGATCAATCTTTTTAAAATATAAAGAATAAAAAGAAATTGTAATCTAATTTTTATTAAGTTTTCCCTCTTTATTTAGTCTTCTTAAAGGAATAGTTATAACGTCTAAATTGTCATGAAGTGAATTGTTGAGAATTAAAGAATTAAAATCAAGCCTAAAAGCTAAATGAAAACAAGCATCACATTTCTTAAGACAAATTTCAAAAGCATTTAAAAAATCACTTTCTTCTTTAGTACGGATATAAATTGAAAAATTAAATTCAAGTGAATATATTTTGATGTTTAAATCACTAATAGCATAACTAATTCTCACATGTCCTGAAAGTTCTATCAAACTGTTATTGAAATTAATCTCTAATATATTGTCTTTAAAATACCAATAAACAACACCCAGTGACTTAAGTTTAGCAAATACAAACTGAAGAGCAATAGGGCTCATGTAAATCATATTAAAACTAATATAACCGTCAAGCGTAAATAATTCGTAGATGTGTTCTGGGGTTGGATTGTTTATAACGTAGTTAAGTCTCTTAATAAAATATCTATCTAATTCGCTAAAATTACTATTAAATTTGGATATTTGTTTATCTTCACTTTGGTTAGACATATGAGGGTTATTTTGTAAAATATTTCTTTAATAAAGTGTAAAAAGAAAATGAAATATTTGATTGACAGATTTATTATTTTTTAATTAAAGCTAATTAAATTATAATGAAGTTATTAATTTTTTTAATAAATTTAGGATTTAAAAATAAACAAAAACTAAAAACTATTTACAATTTAATTAAAAAATTAATAGAGATATCTTTCTCTATTAAATTGTAAATAAGTACAGATGTTTCTGTATTACATCTATAGACTCTGTGATTTGAATTTAAAATAAATTCAAGCATATATTTTAAAAATTAGTTATCAATCAATATTAAAAATATCTATTTTTATACTTATATGGGTAAAATCACACTATTTTTATACTTTTATTATACAAGAAAACTTAATAATATAATTTTAAAAATATAATAATATAATTATTTTTTTACCATATAAAGAATTTAAAATTTTTTATTATGTTTGAAAAAAGGTTATTTTTTATGAATTTGGTATTCTGTTATTTAAAAAAGTTTAATACATTGTTTATATTTTTATTGAAATTTAATATAATTATTTAAACTAAAAAATAAAACTTCAGTACGGTAAAATTTTTTAAGATTTAAGCTCAAGTGAGAAATAAACTACAACATAAAGAACAAAAATTGTATATATTATTTTTATAATTCAACTCGTAATCTTAATTTTATTAAAAGGTATTATAAACTAAAATGAAACTTAAACAAAATTCTTTTAACTCAGATTGGATTTATAAAGAAGTTATTGTTTATATCATTTATTTAATTAAAAATTTATATGTAAATAATAAACTAATTACTAAATTAGTATTTAGCTTCTACTGTCTTTCTTTATAGAATTAATTTTTAAATTATGGTATTTAAATGGGTTTTTTCTTATACAACAACAATATATTTTATATTTTTATTATTTTGGTAAGCTAATAATATTTTATTTATCTAATTCTATAAGTCCTTAGTTTTAAATAATTTTATACGTTTGAATAAAATTTATTTCAATTTATAGTACTCTTCAAACTGACCTTTTAAATTCTTTTGTTTATAAAAACTTTAACAATCTTAAATCAAAAAATTTCATTATATCAAATTTAAGTATAAAAACACTTATAATTTTTTACAACTCTGATCTTTGAAAAAGTAATTGTTTTACTTTTTTATTAAATTTTTTAACTATCAATTTATTGTTTGATGAAATAAAAAAGATAAAATGTTCATATTTTAATTAAATATTTACATTGACATCATATAATACCACTCGTTTTTAATTTAAGAAATGTTTTTGATCCTTAAAGTAACAAAATATGATTAATGATTGTTTTTTAAACATTGAAAGATTTTTTAATAAATAAAAGGTTAACTCAACTACTCTTTTGATAGTATTTATTTTATTAACTAAACTCATTTAGTTATTAAATACTTTTTATAATTTTTATTAATTCAATTTTATTAGTTAAACTGATAGTTATTTTTTTTAAAAATATTTTATAAACCCTTATTAATGTTTATTAAGAAGTTACATTTAGATAATTTTAAAAGTTTTAAAGATCCTTTAACGTTAGAATTCGATAAAAAGAACATAATAATAGGCAAGAATGGTTCTGGTAAATCTAATTTGATGTCAGCTCTTTTCTGTGCATTTCTCGTAGATAAAAAATTTGCTACTAATGTAAAGTATAATAACAATGAAAGAGAGGCTTATATTATTATAGAAATAGATAACAGCGATAGAAGGTTTATTAGTAATGAAATTAATTTATCTATTAAAGTTGTATTCACTACCAATTCAATTAATTATTATGTTAATGAAAAGATTATAACTAAAGATGAATTACAGGGATTATTAGAGAATGCAGGATTACACCAATATAGTTTTATTTGTCAGGGATTTAGAGTAGTAGATAATATTTATGGTTTAATATATAAAGTAGCAGGAGCTGAAAAGTTTGAAGAATATAAAGAACAAGCTATTAAAAATCTTGATAATACTGAAGTAGATAACATGATAGAAAAATTAGAATATAAAACTGCTAAATATACAGAATTTAGTAGAAAATTAGAAAAGTATAATGAATTATCTAATAAGAAGAAAGAAATTGACTTTGAATTAATTAGTTATGAAATACAAGAACTAACTGATAAAATCAATAATATGAGTAATTTAGTTAATAAAAGTGAAGATAACATGGAATTAGAAATTGATGATATTAGAGAGAAAATGGTTAAAAATAGAAATGTTTTAAATGATATAAATAGAAAGTTAAGTAATGTTGAACCAAGAGTTTTAGAAATGTTAAAAAATAAGGTTAATCCATTTACTGATAAATTAGATGAGTTGTTAAGTGAAGAGAAAGAATTGAATGAGAAATTAAAAAAATTAAAAGAAAATGAAATTAGCAATGTTATTTATGCTAAATCTGTAAAGTATTGGAAAGCATTTCAAGATAAGCATTGGACATTAGAAGAGATTAAAGAGAATTTAAAACAAAAAGAATGTGAATTGAATAATTTTACATTAGTTGATAAAAATATTTCAGCATTAATTTCTAAAAAGAAGAGTTTATCAATTAAGAGGAAAGAATTAGAAGATAAGATTAAAGAATTAACTGAAAGAGAGAATAGTCTTAGTAACAAAATGTTATATTTAGGTAACCAGGCTATTAATGCCAGTGAGCATGTTAAAGACAATGAAGGTGTAATTGGACCAGTCTATAATTTGATAAAGGTACCTGAACAATATGAAGAGGCATTTGAAGCGGTAGCTAAAAACTCACTATTCTATTTGGTTGTTAAGAATGAAAATGTTGGATTAGAGTGTTTAAAGAAAATTGAAGGTAAATTAACATTTATTCCGTTAAATAGAATTAAAATAAGAAATAAGGTTATAGGAGATAAATCTATTAAGAAATTATCAGATCTTATTATAACTGAGAAGAAAACATTAGATGTGGATTATAGAAGGTTGGTTGAATTTATTTGTAAAAACTATTATGTTGTTAATGATTTACAAAAAGGAATTAGTTTATCTGAAAAGTATAATATTAATATTGTTACAGTAGAGGGAGATGTTATTACTAATGAAGGAATTATCACAGGTGGTTATGAAATGAATAATTTTGTGTTGAGAGATTTAAGACGTGTACAGGGAATTCTTGATAACCTTAAAATTGATTTGATTAATATTAAAAAAGAATTAGACATAGTAAATGATGAAATAAACATTTACAATTTAGAAGAAGGTAGTAATAAAACTAAAGAAGAATTTAGATTAGAATGTTTAGGAATAATTGAATTTTATAAATTAAGAATAGCATATATTGAGGGTGGTAAAAAAGTATTACATTTAAAGGATTCATCAGTAACTGAAAGTGAAATTAATGAATTTAAGAGACAACAGTTAATTGTTTTAGAGAAATTAAACAGTCTTAGAAAAGAAATATTTAGAAGACAATCAAAAATACTGAAATCTGAAGCAGTAATTGAATTATTAAAAAAGAAAGAAGAAATTGATAAAGAAAATTTAAAACTAAAAGAATCTGAAAATTTATTGTTAAATGATTTAATTAAAAATCAAAATAATCTAACAAGTGAGAATTCAAGTGTAAAAAGTATTTTTATTTCTAAACGTAATGAATTGATGAAAAAGATAGGACTTAAAGACTTTACTAGAGTTATACATAAGAAATATGTTAATGAAGATAAGGAATCATTGATGATAAAATTAAAGGATGTTGTTAATGAAATGAAACCATATCCCATGTTTAGTGAGAATCAAATACATAATTTAAAAGGTTTTGACAGGATGATAAGTATACAAAATGTTAAAAATGAATTAAATAAGTTAAAAATTGAGAAAGACAGTATATTTAGTTATTTAACCTACGTAGAGAACGAAAAGAATAGTAAAATTGAACTTACATTCAACATGATTAGTGATAATTATAATCAATACTTTAAGTATGTTACAGGTGATGAATCTGAAATGAAATTAATTGAAGATAAAACAGTTGAAATATTCATAAACGGTAATAAGATTAATATTAATTCTTTAAGTGGAGGTCAGAAAACAATTATTTCTATTTGTATATTATTTGCTATACAAAGAGTTGATCCATCACCGTTTTACGTATTTGATGAAATTGATGCTAATCTTGATCCTGAATATTGTTTAAAGATTTATGAATTAATTAAACAAAGTGACTTTCAGTTTTTTATATCCACATTTAAACTTCAGGGACTTGAATGTGGTAATAAATTTATTGGTGTTGCTGTTAAAGACAAAGTATCGCATGCAGGTGAAATTAATTATGAATTGGCTAAAGAAACATTACAAACTAGTGAAATTTAATAAATTTATATCAATTAATTTAATAAATTAACATCATATTGAAAATCTGAATAACTGTAAACCATTTGATTTTCTTTTAATTTAATCAATTTTTTTACAACTTCTTTTTCAATTTTCAATTTTTTAATTAAATCACTAATTCTTATACGACATTCTTCTTCAAAAATAACTAAATTACCGTCTGCTAAATTTTTATTAAAATAATCAATTGCTGTATTTCTTTCTTTTAAATAATCAGAATTTAACACTTCTATTAAACAACTATAAATAATTGATGGATTATCTTTTAAAATAACTAATTCTATATCAATATTATCATCAAAATTATTAGATTCTCTTGATATAATATTTTTAGCTTTAATTCCCTCTATTGACTTTTCTAAAGATACTTTTTTAATAAAATCAATCTCATATTCATTTAAATTAAAAATCTCATCATAAATCATTAAAACGTAATACTTTAAATCTTCTCTTTCTTTAAATATAAATCTTCTTATCTCATTTGAATAGAATGTACTTCTTTTATTTTTTAATAAACATGTAAAGATACTCAATCCACAATTTTTAATTAAAAACGAATTTGATTTAAGAGATTTAAATGCTATTAAAGTAAAAATATCAATGATTTGACAAGTGTCATCAATTATTATTTCTTTTAAATAATTTTTAACTTCCTTTTTGATAAAAATTCCATCATTAGAATTTTTATTTGATACAAATTTAACCACCCCAACTATTCTTTTAGATACCAATAAAGCTTCTAAAATATTTAATAAATGATATTCTAATAACTCGTTATATTCACCAACTAAATTTCTTACACACTCAATTACAACGGTTAAATAATCATCAGTTAAAGTGAAATACGATGATATACCTCCACCTTTTCTAAAAACAATTGAATTACTTTTAACATTATTAATTAAGTACTCAAATCCATATGCAATATCAACACTCATTCTATTTCTCATTATCTGTCTTAAATTAATTATTAATCCATAATTATTACATTCTAGAAAAATTTTATAAATCATAAATTTAACTTTTTCATTATTATGGAAATTTTTGATCAAATATTCTATTAAATAAATTTGGATCTTTAATTTGAGTTGATTGAATTTTTGAAGATCTAATTCACTTAACAAATAGTCACTTAACATTTGATACATATCAGTATTTGATGAAGAATACTTTATCATAAAATACATGTAACCAGGATATTCAAAGAGATGATTTTTTATTTCCTTTTCAAGTTCACTTTTAAATTTTTCAGTGTTCTCTTTGGTTAAAACATTAATTATCTTCATTGCAGCACCTTCAGATATTCTTGTATCTATTGATTTAAGATTTTCTAATAATTTTTCATTAGATTCATCTAATAACTCTATTTTTGATACCACTAAGTTTCTTATTTCTGAGTTAATATCTTCAGTTAACCTAAAAATAAAATCTTCAATAATATCACTAACTTCAAAATAAATCATCAATCCAAAGTGTCTTCGAGAACAGTTATTACTTTTAATCATTTGTTTTGATAACTCTTTAAATTCACTTAAATTTAATCTCTTTTTAAACTTTTTTATAAGAGAAATTATATAAACTTGATTTTGATAATCAAAAATATATTGATTTGTTCTTAACCAACCCATAAGATTGTTATAATTAAACTCAAACAATCTTATTCTAACAAATTCATCAGATGCAAATTCACTATAAATTAAGTTTTTATAAAGATTTAAAGACTTATTAAATTTAAGTTTTTTAATTAAAAATCTTAAATCATTTTTTGATAAATTTTTTATCGATTTAATAAACTGCTCATCATCAATTTTACTTGTTAATTTAGAAAGCTCTATTAGTGAAATTTTGTTGTTTGAATCACTAAAATCATCCAAAAGTCTAATAACTAATCCAGAATGACTAAACTCTTCTCTAATAAGAGCATGTAATTCAAATCTATCTTTATTATACTTAGTTAATTTTAATATTTCAACTACATCTTCTGTTTCACAAAACGGTAATAACTTCTTTAATTCATTAATATCATTTTTATTTTCTTCTATTTGTTTATTCATTAAAACTTTTTTATTTAATAAATAATTAATTAAATAACCCCTTAAAAATGACTATCGATATTGGAATTATATTAGTAGGAGGATTAGGTACAAGGTTATATCCATTGACTAAAACAAGACCAAAACCTCTTATATATTTTATTGATAAACCAATAATTGAATATCAACTACAAGCCTTAAAGGATGCTAATATCAAAATAGTTATACTTTGTTTAAATTATTTTAATGAACATTTGACGGAAGCATGTATTGATTGGGAGAAAAAATTTAATATGAAAATAAAATTATCAAAAGAAGATAAACCTTTAGATACCGCAGGACCATTAAAATTAGCAGCTAAAAATTTTCCAGAAATTTATAAATCACAGGGTGTTATTGTAATGAATGCTGACATCTACTCAACAATTAAAATAAACGAACTAGAAAACTACTTTAAAATCCTTATTAAAGATAATAGTACAGTCTGTGTAATAGCAAGTTATGAAGTTAAAGATCCAACTCGTTATGGGTGTTTATTAATAGAAAATAATAAAATAACCAAATTTTTAGAGAAACCAAAAACTAAAGAAGAAATAATTAGTAATAAAATTAACGCAGGAATATATTGCATGACACCTAAAATAATAAAAGATATGATTGAATTAAAAAAAGTATCAATAGAAAAAGATATTTTTCCTTTATTGGCAAAAAATGGAAATTTGTATAATTATAACTTAGATGGATTTTGGATTGATGTTGGTGTACCGGCTGAATATTTATATGGCCAAAGGGTTGTAATAGAAATGTTAGATCTAGTTAAAAAAAACAAAGCTTATTCAAAGAATGTTATTCTAGGAAAGAATGTCATTATAAAAGAAAATGTTTCATTAAGTAATTGTGTTATATTTGATAATACAATCATAAATAATGATTGTGTAATAACTAATGCAATGATAGGATATAATTGTATAATAGGATCAAATGTTAAAATAGGAAATGAATCAAGTAATGTTACAATATTAGGAGATGGTGTTATGGTAAAAGAAGGGGTAATTAAAGTTATTTCATTAATAGAACCAAATGAAATTATAAATAAAATTTAAACAAAAAAGTATAATTTAAAATATAAAAAAAACAAAAAATTTTAATAAGGTTAGTAGTAACCTTACTTGTGCTCATAACAACACTGAGATGATTAGCATGCCCTTGCATAAGGACGGCAAAAGTCTCTGGAGAAGAAGGAAAGAGATAGTAGTATCTCATTTTTAATAAATTTTATTCACTAAAACCACTAACAGGAGAATCAGAGGTGTTGTTTCGAGTAGAATTACTATTAGAACTAATAAATCTAGGAATGTACTGAAATCTAGAAACCAATTTTTTACCCGTACAACAATCTTGTTCTTCGTTAAATAATCTATGTAAGAAACAAGGAGTTCTAAGAAAATCAGCACTATACTTTGGAAAAACATCCTTAAAAAAGAATATAATATGACCACAGACAATTCCCATACTCTCTTCATTATTGATAGTACCATCAGATAGGAGGGTAAATATAGGAATAATAAAAGGTAAATAGAAAGCAGGAAATGTAAGAAAACCAAATGTTTGTATAATAGCTCTTGGGTTTTTTCTCGTCCAAATGTAAGTGATAATACAAGAGAAACTAGGACCTAAAGGACCTAATCTAACAAACATAGCACCAATAATCAAAGTAACATAACAAAGAAATAGCACAAATACATAATCACTAATATAAACATAAGAAGTTTCTAACATACTCGAATACCTATAAAAGAATGTTATATGAAGAATACCTTCAAAGTTTAGCCTTCCAAAATAACAAGGAGCCAAACAAAATCTTAAAATTAAAGTAGAAAGTTTCTTAAACCTTTCAATAACAGATAGTTGATTAAACACACTTCTTGTTTTGTTATTAATAAGTAAATCATATAAAACTTGATATCGGGAGAGTATAAAATAATTCTTATTAACTAGATTGACTGATACTGTGAATGTAACAATACCTACCAGAATACAAACGAATCTTGTTACAGGTGGAGCAGTGTAATATAAATGAAATAAAATGTTCTTCTCCATTAACAAGGGTTAAAATAAAATGATTTTATTTTTTAGTAATTTCAGATAACTTTGACCAGTAAGTTACATCCTCTGTTGTTTTTATTTGTCCATATTGAATGTTGTTCTCTTCTTTTGTCTTTAAGAATACTCCTTCAATTCCTGCATTCTCTCCTCTTAGAATCACTGCATTACCAAATTTTAGTGGTTGTACTGTTGTTATTTTATCAAATGAAAATTCTCTACCATTTCTGGTTTTAACTTTATCTCCTATCACATCCTCTAATTCATACTGATTACCATCTACAAGTATTACTGCGTTAAAAAACAAGCTATTCTTTTTAGTTGTTAGATTATCTGATTGGTAATTTCCTCCTGTGTATCCTACTGATTGGTTAGCATATCCCATTGATCTATTATATCCTA